GTATCCACTAAACTGAAAATTGAGTCGGCGATCCAATTTTCAAGAACTCTGTGATATTTGTGCAGACAGGGTTTGTACGAGCGGACAGACGAGACTTCGTAAAATTAGTTACCGGTATCCATGTATGAGTACTGGCGGCCTTGTGTACCAAGAAGTTGTCATAAACGATGATGACGCAGTTACAATGATGTTACAGTTCTTAAGCGATAACGAGATGCGGCAAGGAGAGGTGTATGTTGTGACCAAGGCGGTCGGTGAAACTCATTCTCACTAGTATTCTTATGATGATGGTTTTGCAGGAGGGTACAAATGGGGTGGTAGTTCGAGCAACTACGAAGGAGGTGGTTATACAGGAGGTTACGGAGAGGGTGGTAGTTCAATCAACTACGGTGGAGGTAGTAGTGCAAGATGGGTGCCATCGGAAGAATACTCGCAACGGGATCAACCTGCAGATGACGTTCAATGGCCTGCTTGGGGGCCTGAGTTGGCTGAAATCGAGAATATCATTCGAGCAGGGCGTACTTTACATGAGCGAGAAGACAATGTTGGTGATGGTGGTCATGTTGATCCTTCTGGGCCGAGTTATCCATTCGACTCGAGCGACGATGATACCGAGGAGGATTTGAGATCAGTTAGCGAGGAGGAAGATACTGATGATATCGACGACGAGGCGGTATTTCGTGAGGCACCAACGCCATACTACAAACAGGTTCCAACTCAATTTTTACATAGTCAGAATGATGCCCCCAACTTTGTCCCTATGCCAGTGTATAATCCGACGGCCAATTTGGAGGTGGGTATGGCGTTCTCATCGAAGGACGCTGTGCAGGATGCCTTTACCGAAGAGGCCTTGAGGCGCAATTTCAAGTGGAAGGTAAAATATTCTGACAGTAAACAATTACATGTCATATGCAAGAATGATGAAGAGGGTTGTACGTGGCAACTGCGGGCTGAAAATATGAAGAGAAAGGGTGCCTGGGTGATTCGAAAAGCTGAGACCAACCACACTTGCTCCTCGTCCATACGTTCTCAGGATCACAGGCAACTTAAAGCAAAGAAAATTGGGAGAACTATTAAACACCTTATCGAAGCATAACCAGATATCAAGGTCAAAGCTATCATGGCCGAGGTGAAGGATCGACATTCTTACACGATAAGATACAAAAAAGCATGGCATAGAAAACAGAAAGCCATGGCTGAGGTGTATGGTGATTGGGAGGATTTGTATGCTCTACTCCCTAGACTTATGGCCTCAATGGAGGAGCCCAACCCTGGGACGGTTTTCGTGCCAGTATACAACAATGTATACACTGAGAATCAAGTTCAAGTACAGGAGAAGTTGATGTTTCACCGTCTTTTTTGGGTTTTCAAACCATGCATTGACGGGTTTGCGTTCTGCATATCGGTTATTCATGTATTTTAATACATGTTTACTATTTGAAATGTTTCTATTCTTGCAGACCAGGTAAATTTCATACTAATTACTTCCTAATATTTAATTAGGTTGATGGAACCTTTCTTACTGGGAAGTACAGAGGAACTCTTCTCATTGCCACTGGCGTTGATGGAAACAGGAGGATTTTCCCGCTTGCATTTGCAATAGTGGAAGGGGAGAACATCTTAAGTTGAGCATGGTTCTTTGACCAACTACACGAACACGTGACACAGCGGGAGGGTATTACGATTATATCCGATCGACACGCGGGGATTAGGAATGTCGTGGGTGGTTTTCCTGACGAGTGTGGATGGACATGGCGCTGGTGTATTCGACACTGGCTCGCCAATTTCCAACACAATTTTGAAAGAAGAAAGATATCAAAAATCAATTGTGGCATGCAGGTACTAATGTCCTTTAATGCGAGTTAACTATGTGTTTAATAATTTGTTGTTTATCATGTATTGACAATTTTTATTTTGTTCACCTTGCAGCGGTTGCACATCAGCCAAAAAAGTACGAGCAGAAAATGAAGACGGTCCGTCAGACTCACCGAGCTGGAGCAGTATGGGCTGAAGGTCAAGAGTTGGCCATGTGGACGTTCCATATGGACAACAGGGCCAGATGGGGCATTGCAACTACCAACCATGGAGAAAGTATAAATAATGTGTACAAGGGCTTTCGAGCGATGCCTATTTTTGTCATAGTGGAGATGTCATACTGGAAAGTCAACGAGTGGCAGGTGGCTCGGCTGCAGCTAGCGATAGGGAGGGAGATATCTGGTCATCCGATAGCACATGACATTTTTTAGAAAATGCAGAAGAACTAAGAAAAATCAAGCATAAAGTTGTTCTTTTCGATCGCAGTGAAGGGATATTTGCAGTGGAAAAATGTGTATGGGGTCGAGGTAGACGTAGCAACAATCGTCAGACGGTTACTCTGCACTATGAATCAGGGGAGTGTACATGTCAAAAATATCAAAACGAGAGGATACCCTGTTCACATGCAATGGCAGTAGCTAAGTCATTAACCATGAACAGAAACACTCTGGTGAGTCCTTACTACAATGAACAAGCGATACGGAACTCATATGATGCAGCTTTGAGTCCCATGCTAGATGAAGCGTATTGGCCTATATACGCTGGGAAGTTGATTATCCCACCGTTGCACCTAAAACGCACCAAGGGTCGTCCTAGGATTGAAAAGATTCACAATGAGATGGATCAAGTGGAGCACACGAGGCGAGGGCCGAAGCGATGCTCCAAGTGCAGACAACCTGGCCATGAAAAGAGGCGTTGCCTAGGACAACCTATCGAGCATGGTGCGGATATTAATTAGGACCAACCTTGATTAGCATGTTCGTGTGTAAGCTTGTTTTAATTGTACCCATGTTTTGCCTTGTCATGAATTTAGAATAAATGCAAACTCAAAACAGAGCCCAAACGCGGATTGAAAAAGTTCAAAAAAACGCGGATTGAAAAAGTTGACTAACATAACATGGATAATTCAACGACAATGCAAACTCAAATCAGAAGACCGAAAAATTCAAATAAACGCGGATAGTTCACTACAATATGACAAAACACTAGAATAATCAAAGAAAGCACGGATAGTTCACTGGTTGTCTTCATTTGGTTGCCCCTCATTTTGGCCCCCATCTCGCCCTCCGCCTCGTCCCCTTCTTCCACCTCTTCCTTCTGCTTCTTGGCGGGCTCGCTCAACGACTTGTCATGGATGTCTCTTAACTCGAGCCCCTACTGGAGTTACAAGTGGCGGTGGAGGTTGCAGAGATGGACCGGTAGCCTGCTGATAGATCGGGCGTTGAGGGGTTTGTTGATGTAGGGTGTGATACATCGGAGTCTGTTGTTGAGATGAACCTCCAGCGACATCCGGTGCAGGTGCCCACTCGTACTCATATGGTTCAGAGAGCTCGGTTGCTTAAGTTGTACGCACTTCTTCGAAAGTAGGCAGAGGCCTGCGTTTGCTCTTTCGTGGGAGCTCACGGGGGCACAATGGACTCATCATCACGGAATGATGGGCGTGCCGGAGCAGGAATGGGAGGATAGGCCACGACATTCCTCCTTTGCTCTAGGATACAACTCAAGAGGTTGTTCATAAGTCTTCGCAGCCAAGAAATCTTGTGCTCATCCATGGTTGGAGCACTATCGAAGGTGTGTTTGGCATGTTCCAAACCACCAATCTAAGCAATCCACATAATAAAACAAAATTAATTAAACCTTAAAATAAAATAATTAGACTCACGAGGGAGATTAGAATGACTTACCAACGAACCCATCACAACACCTTGCTTTGACACCCATATATTGGTGAACTTCCGATACCACTGCATGTACCCATCGTGGTAGCCCATCGGTCTCGTCTCCGGCATCCCTTGGACCACCCATGTCCCTCTATTCTCCCAGATGTTGATGTAGTACTGATGCTTTAGGATCCAATTCTTTAAAACATGTCATCGACCTCCGACACGCTTCAAAGAATTGGATCATAAAACATCAGTACTACATCAACATATGGGAGAATAGAGGGACATGGGTGGTCCAAAGGATGCCGGAGACGAGATCGATGGGCTACCACGATGGTACATGCAGTGGTATCGGAAGTTCACCGATAGATGGGTGTCAAAGCAAGGTGTTGTGATGGGTTCGTTGGTAAGTTATCCTAATCTCCCACGTGAGTCTAATTATTTTGTTTTAAGGTTTAATTAATTTCGTTTTATTATGTGGATTGCTTAGATTGATGGTTTGGAACATGCCAAACACACCCTCGATAGTGCTCCAACCATGGATGAGCGCAAGACTTCTTGGCTGCGAAGACTTATGAACAACCTCTTGAGTTGTACCCGAGAGCAAAGGAGGGATGTCGTGGCCTATCCTCCCATTCCCGCTCCGACACGCCCATCATTCGATGATGTTGAGCCCATTTTGCTCCCGGTTGAGCCCCACGAAGGAGCAATTGCAGGCCTCTGCCTACTTTCGACAATGTGCGTACAACTCAAGCAACAGAGCTCCCTGAACCATTTGAGTACAAGTAGGCACCTGCACCGGATGTCGCTGGAGGTTCATCTCAGCAACAGACTCCGATGTATCACACCCCGCATCAACAAACCCCTCAACGCCCGATCTACCAGCAGGCTACTGGTCCATCTCACCAACCTCCACCGCCACTTGTAACTCCAGTAGGGGCTCAGGTTAAGAGACATCCGCGACAAGTCATTGAGCGAGCCTGCCAAGAAGTAGAAGGAGGAGGTGGAAGAAGGGGTCGAGGACGTCGTGGAGGACAAGGCGGAAGGCGAGATGGGGGCCAAAATGAGGGGCAACCAAATGAACATGCTAATTAAGATAGATCACTTTTTCAAGGTTGGTCCTGATTAATATCCGCACCATGCTTGATAGGTTGTCCTGGGCAACGCCTCTTGTCATGGCCTGGTTGTCTGCACTTGGAGCATCGCTTCGGCCCCCGCCTCTTGCGCTCCACTTGATCCATCTAATTGTGAATTCAATACTAGGACGACACTTAGTGCGTTTCAGGTGCAACGGTGTGATAATCAACTTCCCAGCGTTTATAGGCCAATACGCTTCAACTGGCATGGGACTCAAAGCTGCATCATATGAGTTCCGTATCGCTTGTTCAGTGTAGTAAGGACTCACCAGAGTGTTTCTGTTCATGGTTAATGACTTAGCTACTGCCATTGCATGTGAACAGGGTATCCTCTCGTTTTGATATTTTTGACATGTACACTCCCCTGATTCATAGTGCAGAGTAACCGTCTGACGATTGTGGCCACGTCTACCTCGACCCCATACACATGTTTCCACTGCAAATATCCCTTCACTACGATCGAAAAGAACAACTTTATGCTTGCTTGATTTTTCTCCATTCTTCTACATTTGCTCAATAACGTCATGTGCTATCGGATGACCAGATATCTCCTTTCCTATCGCTAGCTGCAGCCGAGCCACCCGCCACTCGTTGACCTTCTAGTATGATATCTCCACTATGACAAAAATAAGCATCGCTCGAAGGCCCTTGTACACATTATTTATACTTTCTCTATGGTTGGTAGTTGCAATGCCCCATCTGGTCCCGTTGTCCATATGGAACATCCACATGGCCAACTCTTGACCTTCAGCCTATACTGCTCCAGCTCGGTGAGTCTGACGGATCGTCTTCATCTTCTGCTCGTACTTTTTTGGCTGATGTGCAACCACTGCAAGGTGAACAATATAAAAATGGTCAATACAGGATAAACAACAAATTATTAAACACATAGTTAACTCGCATTAAATGACATTAGTACCTGCATGCCACAATTGATTTTTGATCTCTTTTTTCTTTCCAAATTTGTGTTGAAAATTGGCAAGCCAGTGTCGAATACACAAGCGTCATGTCCATCCTCACTCGTCGGGAAAACCACACACGACATTCCTAATCCCCGCGTATCGACCAGATATAATCGTAATACTCTCCCGTTGTGTCACATGTTCGTGTAGTTGGTCAAAGATAATGCTCAACTTAAGCTTTCTCCCCTTCCACTATTGCAAATGCAAGCGGGAAAATCCGCCTGTTTCCATCAACGCTAGTGGCAATGAGAAGAGTTTCTCTGTACTTCCCAGTAAGGAAGGTTCCATCAACCTAATTAAATATTATGAAGTAATTAGTATGAAATTTACTTGGTCTGCAAGAATAGAAACATATCAAATAGTAAATATGTATTAAAATACCTGAATAACCTGTATGCAGAACGCAAACCCGTCAATGCATGGTTTGAAAACCCAAAAAAGACTTTGAAACATCAACTTCTCATGTAGTCAAACTTGATCCTCAGGGTATACATTGTTGTATACTGACACGAAAACAGTCTCAGGGTTGGACTCCTCCATTGCGGCCATAAGTCTAGGGAGTAAAGCATACGAATCTTTCCAATCACAATACACCTCAGCCATGGCTTTCTGCTTTCCATGCCATGTTTTTTTGTACCTTATCGTTTAAGAATGTCAATGTTTCACCTCGGCCATGATAGTTTTGACATTGATATCTGGTTGTGCTTCGATAAGGTGTTTAATAGGTCTCCCAATTTTCTTTGCTTTAAGTTGCCTATGATCCTGGGAACGTATGGACGAGGAGCAAGTGTGGTTGGTCTCTGCTTTTCGAATCACCCAGGCACCCTTTCTCTTCATATTTGTGGCCCGCAGTTGCCACGTATAGCCCTCATCATTCTTGCATATGACATGTAATTGTTTACTGTCAGAATATTTTACCTTCCACTAGAAATTGCGACTCAAGACCTCTTCGGTAAAGGCATCCTGCACAACGTCCTTCGAAGAGAACGTCATACCCACCTCCAAATTGGCCGTCGGATTATACATCGGCATAGGGACAAAGTCGGGGGCATCATTCAGACTATGTAAAAATTGAGTAGGAACCTGTGTGTAGTATGGCGTCGGTTCCTCACGAAATACCGCCTCGTCGTCGTTATCATCAGTATCTTCCTCCTCGCTAACTGATCTCAAATCTTCCTCGGTATCATCATCGCTCGAGTCAAATGGATAGCTCGGCCCAGAAGGATCACCATGACCACCATCACCAACATCGTCTTCTCGCTCATGTGAAGTACGCTCTGCTCGAATGGTATTCTCGATTTCAGCCCACTCAGGCCCCCAAACAGGCCATTGAACGCCATCGGCAGGTTGATCCTGTTACGAGTATTCTTCCGATGACAACCATCCTGCACTACTACCTCCACCGTAGTTGATTGAACTACCACTGATAACCAATTAATTTCACATGTTTTTACCCCTATTCTTGAGCCGTTTGAGACATTGATTCTCGTATTTTAAGCCGATTTCACGCTAAGTTGTGCGTTTATGTAATATTTCAGAGCTTACCGTTGGCATCAAGGCGAATGAACGAGATTCGGGTCAAAAAGAACATGTGAGGTTTGAAGTGTGCTGGAGAGCAATAATACCCGACCATGAGCAGAAATACCTGGCCGGGTATTATTTGGCCATGACTGGGGATTTGACGCTTCGGCATTTTTGAGAAACAGAAAAGGGCCCGGCAGGAAGAAAAAATCCCCGGTCGGGGATTCTTGGCCATGACCGGGGATTTTTCCCTGTCACACGACGGTGCGTTTTGCACATACCCGGTCTCCACCCAAAATACCCGACCGAGTATTTAGGCTGAGGATCACGACAGACAGCATTTTAAGGGAAAAGAAGGCAAAAAAAAAGTGTTCCGAGTTTTAGAGAGACAGAGTGATTCCTAGAGAGAGAGCGACGAACCAGAGTTCCCAAGTGCCCTAGCTTTATCTTCATCACCATTGGAGCTCGGCTCATACTTGGAGAAGTGCCGATTGACGACCAGGAGCAGAAACCCATCCTTCATAGTATGGTTTCCGCATCTGTATCTGCTTTTGCTTCTCTCTCCATGGAGTAGTTTTCCCATTCATCCGGGTATGGAGAACCCTAGATTTGTATGTTAGGTCTGATTGTATGATCCCAAGTACAAATTTTATGATTTGATTATATTCAATTGAGGCTTGAATGATTGAATGGCATGAATCCTGATCAAATTCCTGTTATTTCTGCTTTAGCCTAGAAAGAGAATATTTGCATAGGTTGATAGAGCACCCTTAATTGAAGGTAGTGAATTGTCAGACTTTAGTCGAGGAGCCAATTCACTATTATGTACCGAACTTGCTTCGGTAGTGGAGGTTTTGTTCGTTAGGGCCTCAATCTGTTTACTCCGGTGGAGGTTAGTCACCCGCTATAGACCTTTAGTCGAGACTTTGGACTGTTTAAAAACCTCCCGCAGTATAACTATCATAGAAACTGAACTTGGTAAATTGCAATCCGGCTTAACTACAGTCTAGGGGGAACCATATTTGAGTGACCTCTCTCGACTTGAAAACAACTTTCTTGCTTGCTTTGTTTGTTTACTTGTTTGAACCTGCACTAAAGTTTCACCGCTAAATAATAAGAATTCACTGAGTAGTCATCACATCTAGGACCCGGGTTGACACTAAAACCCAAACCCGCTATACTACACTTTAGGAAGTGGTTACACTTGGACATTTTCTAAAGTGACAGTAGGAGTGAGTCAAGTTTTTGGCGCCGTTGTCGGGGACTTTCTAGATTATTTGGAAAGGCATAAGTTTGTTACTTTAGCGTTTTTCTTTTCTTTTCCACCCTTGCTTTTCATTTGAGTGTTTTTGTTTTTGTTGGTGCAGATCTGAATCATGGATCCTCATGGCTTCTCCAACCATTGGGGGTATCCACCACCGTCCGAGTGGTATTACCCCGAGACTCCCTGGAGCAATCAAGGAGGAGAAGACTATGGATTCGGGTTCCAGTACCAAACTATGAATTGAGGCTTCTCATGGAGCATTTACTCTAGACAGTGAGAGATAATGGTCCAGGCTGGATCTTTGTACCCAGGCCTATCGTGAAACAAAGGAGATCCTCCTGAGCATTAAGAAGAGCGTCGATGATCTTAAGCGATTTTATGCACAACCTGCTCCAGATCACCCTTATGCTACCATAATATAAGAGGAAAGGATAAGGGGAACGATGTTACCAGTATGCACGGACTGCAAGAGACTGGAAAAGGACCAAGTCGGAGTGAAGCGGACTGGAGAAGGACCAGTCATAGACAAAGCACAGCTAAAGGGAACAAAAGAACTCAAACACAGTACGTTAGTTCCAATGGTCAGCCCAATAGTATATCATCCAAAATCAAAAGAAAGAAAAGAAAATAAACCAACACACAAGACAATTTGCATTCTGACATAAATGAAAACAACACAAAATGGGGCCACGAGTAAAGCCTACTCAAGCCCGGTGAAGTCAATCTGGTCCATGAGATCGTCGATCCCCTCTGGTGGTGGTGTTCGCGGTGGCGAGTGATCCCACCGGGTGGTCCAGTGGTGCTCCTCTGGTGAGTGACAAGACTGGAGTAGGTGCTCCGAGTACTCCATCAATCGGCAACCACGATCCCTCTCCCGCTTGATGACAGCACCAGTGACTCTCATCTGGGCCTCCATCCGGTCAAAGACGCTCGTCGACGACTGTCAGCCTGGACTGGTACTCAGCCTGGTGGGCCGAATACTGCTGGTAAAACTGGACCTGATGGTCCATGAGCTGTTGGTTCTGAAGGCCGAGCTGCTAGAACTGGAGTCATCTGCTGGAACTGCTCTGTGAAGAAGTCCATCGACGGGCCAGAAGGACCAGAAGCTGTCGATGGCTTCTGGCCCGCCGATGGACTTCTTCACAGAGCAGTTCAAGCAGATGGGACTCCAGTTCCAACAGCTCGGCCCTCAGAACCAGCAGCTCATGGACCATTAGTTCCAGTTTTACCAGCAATATTCGGCCCACCAGGCTGCGGTCGTCGACGAGCATCTCGACCGGATGGAGGCCCAGATGAGAGTCACTGGTGCTCTCATCGAGTGGGAGCAGGATCGTGGTCACCGATTGATGGAGTACTCGGAGCACCTGCTCCAGTCTTGTCACACACGAGAGGAGCACCACTGGACCACACGGTGGGATCACTCGCCACCGCGACCACATCACCACCACCAGAGGGGATCGACGATCTCATGGACCAGATTGACTTCACCGGGCTCGAGTAGGCTGTACTCATGGCCCCGTTTTGTGTTGTTTTCATTTCTGTCAGAATGCAAATTGTCTTGTGTGTTGGTTTATTTTCTTTTCTTTCTTTTGATTTTGGATGATGTACTATTGGGCTGACCATTGGAACTAACGTACTGTGTTTGAGTTCTTTTGTTCTCTTTAGCTGTGCTTTGTCCATGACTGGTCCTTCTTCAGTGCGCTTCACTCCGACTGGTTCCTTTCCAGTCTCTTGCAGTCCGTGCACACCGGTACCATCGTTCCCCTTATCCTTCCCTTTTCTTCATTGAGGGCAATGTTGATCTTAAGTGTGTGGGGATGTTTCTCTTTTGACTGCATTAGATTTGTTTGTGTGCTTGAAGCCTAATCCACTGTCCAAATTTTTAAATTTGAGAGCTCCAAGTACGTGTTTCCTTGCAAATTGTCTGCTCAGTATGCTTTGAATTGACAGTTTCTATAGTAACGTGCAACCTAGGGAGATAGTATAGCGCTATGGAGGATGTTGAAGTATAAGATTTTTCCTATCTAACTCTCTGTTGTGCTAGTTGATTTTGTGAATTAGTGGAGCTAGGACCGTTGAATTCATGTGATGGTGACTCTATTTGGATTGTGTGATGGACTCGGGTATCGAACAGGGTGCTCATGAAAAAAAAAATGAAATGCAGTTGGTCCTCCAAGCCCAACAATTAATATTATAAACATAGAAGACACAATTAAGGTTGATAGAAAAATCTGAATCTATAAATAAACAAACCCATGACTTTATAGCGAAAAAACAGAGATGTAATATGGTTAATGACAATTTTGGTTAACCAGAAAATGCACAAAAGCATAATCTTTTCCTATTTCAGAAGAAGGGTTATAGGTATAATATGCCCCTCTACTATGACGTTTTATCAAATATCAAACATGCCTCTTTACTATTTTTTACATCAAACATGCCCCTGTACTTTGTAAAAATAATCAAACATGCTCTTTTGTTAAAATTTTCATCCAAAAACCGTTAACCAAGGCCGAACTTTAGTTTGGGCGACACAAATAACTAAAATATCCCTGAAAATTTCACTATATAATTTTTTTGGTTCTTTTGTATAATCAAATCATTCAAATAATTTCACTTCACTTTGAAAAGACCCAAAGAAATAAAACAGGGGACAAAACTGACATTTTTCCTCCCATTTGCCGATGTCGGGGCTTCTAAATATCGGTTCAACCATGATTAACGATTTTTTCAATGGAAATTTTAACAGAAGGGCATGTTTGATAATTTTTCAAAGTACAGGGACATATTTGTTGTAAAAAATAGTAGAGGGGCATATTTGATAAAACGTCATAGTAGATGGGCATATTATAGCTATAACCCAAGAACCAAAACTATTCAATTTTAAAGGCGAAGTTAACATGGTTCGATCAATTGCTAGTCGATAGATTTCAAATACAAGGCATTACAGTTAACTAATACTACCTCTTATTATATACATTAAGAGCATACCAAAAACAACCCACGATTGAACATAATACAAAGCAATCCAAGAGCCCAAAGAGTCTTACCTGGTCAAAAGAATCCAAACATCTCTTGCATAGCATATTCATGTACCTGTTCTAGGAAAGATGCAAGAACTTATAAGGATAATGCTAGTGATTTTTAATTAGTAATTGGGGTCTTTCTGAAAGATTAATTGGATAAAGTATACCTCTGACACATTCTTGTCCTCGTCATTCAACACAATTGTTGGGGTACATGAAGACTCTTACTCGTTCTCCCTGCAAAATTAGCCGCAACTCTGGTAAGCCACAACAAAACCAACAAAATTAGAAAATCAAAACTCTGGAAATTGTATCACTTCGGGTACCATGGACTTAGGGAGGAGGTTCTTGATTCAAACCTTTAGAGACGATCGTTGGAAAGGTAAATGAATTGGGTTGACCATACATACCAGGAGCTATAGCTCTGCACTTGAATGTGGATGCGAGTGACAACCCAAATCAGCTTCCGAAGGCTCATCTCTCTTGTGGCGCCAAACCCATCTCATGCTATCCCTGAGCTTGACACGTGGTTCAGAGCTGTCCCCTGATAGGCCCGATCGTGTATGTATTAGTCTTCACTTTCAACTCATAGATAGATAAATAGATTATAAGAAATATACAGATCATGATACCTGGAGGAGATTTATCAATGTCTCCATGGTAGCAGTTTTGTCAGGTCCAATTTCATAGTAACTGATAATGAAACTCTGCCTGTAAACCAGCCTGTACTCCACGAATCTTCCCATCAAGCAATTAGGGGACTGTGATCCACTTTGTAATAATCAGACGGAGCTCCTCCCTCCACTCTGGGGCTCCCATTCACCTTCTTCACATTAACCTTCTTCAAGTCCAAGCTCCGTGGATTGTTTCTGGAATTTGCTCTAATGGACAGCCTTTTGCTGCTATTTTGTGCAACTTAGAATTAGAAAACTGCATAACCAAAACAGTATGCTTGCTATCCTATTCTTTTTTGTTTTTTGTTATTTTTTTTTTGCAGCCTAAGCATGTCATCTGAATGCCATCTGAATGAACATTTTCTGCAGCTTACATGGTAGAATAAGCTTGCTATAATGTCAATGAATGCAAAGGAAGACAAATACCTATCAGCCTTCCTTTGGCAAATTAGCTCGCCTTCAGTGGGAAATTTGAGATCAAAGAAGAAAAACCCATACTCAAAAGTGAATTGTCTGTCTTTATTAAATAAACTCCCGTGACACCAGACTACCAAAAGATAATGTTTCAAACAAATAATTTCCTCTTCTAATAGATTATGCTATTTCAAGTAACACACCTAACAAAACATTAACACATGATGGTAACACCATGACATGACTACAACATGAAATTTTAGAAGATGGCAGCTTTTATGCTTTGCTACAAAATCTCATGTGGACTTCTTCTTTGCCCAATCACCAATACAACAAACAACTGAGCTAGGGACTGCCATAATAAATTTACAAAAATCAACTGATGCTAAAAGTTTATATGTTTAGGTTTCTTCTACTGTTTGAGTTACAGATGGTTGAATTGGAAATGAAGTGGATGATGCAGGGCAGAAAATGACTTACAACTGAATTATATTGAGTATATGAGCACATGTTATTTGTAGAGTCTCTTACTTTGGCTTCTACAACATCAACTGCAAATCTGAAACCAGGGCAAAGGATGTTCGGTTTAGTAAAGAAAACATTGTGCAAGTGTTATCATGAGCCCAAACAGGGGAGCTTAGATGCTCACCTTGGACATGCACTTCTTGACTGATATAACCTGTTAGAAGCCAAGCAAGATTAGTTTATGAAATTCCTGTCAGATAACTTGCAACTCTCCATAAATTTCCAGCATGTATCCACTCAACATGCACCAGTCAGGCACACAAAAAAAAACTACGATTTCACCCACCCGTTATTGTAATTAGACATAATTAGACATGAGATCAAAGGAAGGAAACTGCAGCGGAAATTAAAATAAGGGAAGAAAAAAGCAAAATGATGAGATGATCAAGGTAGGAAACAACAGTGGAGATTGGAGAATCAATTGAGAATTGAGAACCTAGGGTTTGATAGAAATCCTAATTGAGAGAATCAACTCAATCAAACGCCTCCAGAAATCTTACCTCGATTCAGACTTAGAAGATTGCGGTTTTAGCTCAGATCTCCATGATTGAGAGTCATGACGATAAGCGGTGACTGTTCATCTCTGCGTGCCTTATCGTCCTTCCCATCTGCAGCGCGTCGTAATTCGAAGACAAGTGTGAGAAATCAACCTTCTTCTTCATATACGAGCTGTACAATTTGAACGGCTGCACGACCCTTCGTCGTCATTGACACAAAATCTGGTCAAATCTAGCATTTTCAATCGACGAAGAAGATAAGGCGCTGAGACCTTGAGACAGAGAGGCCATTGGAGGAAATCTCAACGAGCTCTGAGCCTTTATTGCGCACTTTCTCTCTCTCCAGACTTTTCTCCTCTTTCTTTCAAAAATACTAATTTTAAAATCGATGGAGGATGGACAAACAATAACAAATGCATAGGAAAATTGAAATTAAACTTGGTCACTCACTTCACTTACGGCAGGCTATAAACAGAACCAATTTTAATAAATAAAATCCCGATGGCCGCATCTTTCCGTCAATTTGTCCGTGGAAATTATTAGATAACCACGGTTGTTGGCGCGTGTCGCTAGGTGACCGTGGTTAATGTTGGATTTTCTTGTAGTGAGAGATGTTGATATCATACTTACGTGAATGAGTTACTTATGGTACTCACCATAATGTTACTGATCTGAGCCGCTTCCGATAATTGAGGGAAAGTGTTAGTGATTATTAGAGAACTGGAGGTTTGCTTAAGTAACCGAATATTATTAGGATGGTAATGGGTACCGACCATTATTTGGCTGTGTAGAATTAGGTTTGATTATTAGGATTTTGGTGTTTTTCTATGTATATGTACTTTGATTTTAGTTTTTATAATCAGAGAAAAGGAATAAAGTAGTTGTTAGTAGAATTCATGTGTTTTTATGAATAGAGTAAAGCAGTATATTGTTCTATCGATGCACTGAAACATTATTGCATCAACTGTAATAGCCACAACTTACGATTTATGTTTTGTGGATGTCTTTAGTTTTACTTTTGATACTATAATCCTCCTTACAAATCCCAGTTGAAACATGCCTTATGTTGTAGTGTTCGGTGGGTCTCATGGGCTTGTTAGTGTTGGAAGAAGGAATCCTAGTGACATAAGGATTGAAGCTGCGCGCCAAATGTTTGAGGTTTAAATCAGTCTTAGTGTTGCTGTGTCATTTTGAGGTTGAGTCTGTCTAATAATCAATACTGCACCGTTTGCAGTGTGTCTGTGTTAGTCCCTTTAGTTTTGTAAAAGGTCAAGTAAGTCCTAGTTAGTTGAGTTAGCCGTTGAGAGCATATAGCTGAATCTGTTAGAAGAGATTGCTGGAAATCTGAATAGTAGAGTCAGGGTTGTTGTGAGCAGTTCGAGTTAGGGGCTTGCAACTCATTCTATTTATACTTTCTGTTCTTCATCAATAAAACTCTTCAGATTGCATTTGAGTGTGTTTCTACATTTGGTATTAGAGCACAACGCAAGCTGTAACCAAATTCTACTGCTAAGTGCAGAGCAGGCAAATCAAAGTGGTGTGAGGAAAATCTGTGGGAGGAATACATATATGGGTATTGGGAAACACGAGGGTTTTAGTATGTGTGGTTGCACGATGAGTGAGAATGCAAGTTTTGCCCAGGTTGGTCTTCCCAAATTCGATGGAGACTACGATCACTGGAGCTTGCTTATGGAAAACCTATTGAGATCCAAAGAGTATTGGGGGTCGTGAGTGATGGTATTCCAGAACCAACGGCTGGAGAGGCAGTGTCAACTGATGAGAGCAAGATCTTGGATGATTTGAGATTCAAGGATCTCAAAGCCAAGAATTACTTATTCAGTTCAATTGACAAATCCATTTTGAAGACTATCACCAAGAAGTCCACAGCTAAGCAGCTCTGGGATGCCATGAAGATCAAGTACCATGGCAGTGCTCGAGTTCAGAAGGCACAACTTCAGGCACTCAGGAGGACATTTGAGGTATTGGAAATGAGGAAAGGTGAGACTGTAACAGCCTATTTTAGTCGAGTTATGGTAGTGGCTAATGATATGCGAAATTGTGGTGAGGATATGCCTGATGTTAAGGTGCTTGAAAAGATATTGAGGACTTTCACTGAGAAATTCAACTATGTAGTGTGTTCTATAAAGGAGTTCAAAGATATAGAGATTCTCTCTGTGGATGCTCCACAGAGCTCTCTATTAGTTCATGAGCAGAAGTTTCACAAAAGGACCTCAGCTGCAGCAGAAGATGAATAGGCCTTGAGAATATCTCATAATTATGGGGGAAGAGGAGGCAGATCTGGAAGAGGAGGAGGCTATCAAGGTAGAGGTCGAGGAAGAAGTGGTAGAGGCTGGAGCAAAACAATGTTGAATACTTTAGGTGTCATAAGTTTGGTCACTATCAGTATGAGTGTCCAGGCTGGTATCCAAATCAACACTAGTCTAACTTTATTCAGAATGATATGACAGATGATGTTCTGCTTATGGCACTCTTGGAAGACTCTCATCAGACAGGAATGGAGAATTGGTGGTTTTTGGATTCAGGCTGCTCAAACCACATGAGTGGTGATAAGATCTGGTTTGACAACATCAACTACAATCATACAGGTCAAGTGAGACTGGGAAACAACAGCAGGCTGAAGGTAGCTGGTAAAGGAACAATAAGGATGCAACTGGAGAAGGTGACTTTGGTTATCCGGGATGTTTTCTTTGTTCAGGTTTGCAGACCAACCTACTGAGTATGGGGAAACTACAAGAAAGAAATCTGGAGTTCTTGGTAAAGAGAGACTACTGCAGAATAGTTCATGAGACAAGGGGTTTCCTGTTGGAAACCAGAATGAAAAGCAACAGGATGTTTGTATTGCAAGCAGCATCCAAGAAAGCTACAGGACAAGCTGAACTTCAATGCTTAGCTCCAGACTGCAAGGAAACGTCACTTCTTCTGTGGCATAGAATGTTTGGCCACCTGAACCCCCAAGGGATCTTGAAGCTGAAGAAAGACAAACTAGTGAAAGGGGTACCTGATCTGAAAGGAGAAGTGGGTGTTTGTGCTACTTGTCAACTGGGCAAGCAGACTAGGAAGGCTTTTCCCAAAAAGAGCCGGTGGAGAGCAACCAAGCAGCTTCAATTGGTGCATGCTGACCTCTGTGGACCCATCACTCGTATGTCTAAGAGTGGAAAGAGGTATATTTTTACCCTCATTGATGATTATAGTAGGAAATTATGGGTCTATTCCTGTCTGCTAAATCAGAAGCCCTTGAGTGGTTTAAGAAGTACAAGGCTCAGGTGGAAAAGGAAACTGGGGTACCTATTTTGTGTCTAAGGGCAGATAGGGGAGGAGAGTTTCTGTTAACTGAATTTCAAACTCTGTGTGAAGATGCTAGAATGACCAGACAGCTCACTGCAGCTCTCACCCCTCAGCAGAATGGTGTGGCTGAGAGGAAGAATAGGACCACCATGAATATGGTAAGATGTATGCTCAAGGACACTCAAGTACATGCAAGTTTTTGGCCAGAAGCAGTCAATTGGACTACTCATGTACTGAACAGAAGCCCCACTGCTGCAAATCAAGGAAAGACACCTCAAGAGGTGTGGACTGGCAGTGCACCATCAGTTGCACACTTTCGAGTCTTTGGATGTGTGGCCTATGCTCATGTCCCTGACCAACAAAGAAAGAAGCTAGATGATAAAAGCACTCAATGCTACTTTCTTGGTATCTCAACTGAATCCAAAGCATACAGGCTATACAATCCAGTTACCAAGAAGGTAGTCATAAGCAGAGATGTAGTATTTGATGAAAGTCAAGGGTGGAAGTGGAAGGCTGATGTCCAACCAGTGGTTACATTCTTGGAGTGGGAAGGAAGTGAAGAAGAACATGAAGACCCTGATGGGGAAGAAGGTCCTATGTTGAATGAAACTCCACCTGCAGTGGAAGAAGAGGAAGAGGAGACTACAAATAGTCATGTCACACCTGCTGCAACAGGCCTTGATGCCTATGTTGATGAAGAAGAAGAAGAGGACAACAACTCCACTGATGTCCTAGGCCTGCCTCATAGCCCTACACTTGGTACCAGATCACGAAAGCCACCTAGCCATCTCTCCATTTATGACTGCGCACACTCCACTAAGGTACTGCCAGACTGGTTGTTGATGGCAGAAGTAACAGGAGATCCACAATGCTTTGAAGAAGCAGTTGGCCTAGAGAAGTGGAATGAAGCAATGCAGCAAGAGATGCAGTGCATAGAGAAGAACAACACGTGGGAATTGACTGAATGCCCTCCAAGTATTACTCCCATTGGCTTGAAATGACTCTATAAAACTAAGTTGACAGAGAACAGTGCCATTGACAGGCATATGGCCAGATTAGTAGTCAAGGGTTATGCACAGAAAGCTGGCATAGACTACAATGAAGTGTTTGCTCCAGTTGCTAGGTGGGACACCATAAGAACATTGTTGGCATTTGCTACTCACCATGGTTTTCCAGTTTGGCAGTTAGATGTTAAGAGTGCATTTCTGAATGGTGAACTTAATGAAGATGTTTATGTTGAGCAACCACCAGGATTTGTGGTTGTTTGGGGAGGAATCTAAGGCATACAAGCTAAAGAAGGCACTTTATGGCCTAAAACAAGCTCCTAGGGCCTGGTACAGTCGTATTGAGGCACATTTTCTGAGGAATGGCTTTGAAATTGCCAGAATGAAGCTACTTTGTTCATTAAAAGAACTCAATATGAAGTACTTATAGTCAACATTTATGTGGACGATGTTCTATATACAAGCAGCAGTTCCAAGTTGGTAGATGAATTCAGAAGAGCTATGGAAGCTGAATTTGAAATGTCTGACTTGGGAAGGATGAAGTTCTTTCTGGGAGTGGAAGTGATGCAAAGTGAAAGAGGCATATTCATCTGCCAGCAAAAGTATGCTAGAGAAGTCCTGGAGAAATTTTACTTGACAGAGTGTAATTTTGTACACAATCCTATTGTGCCTGGAGTAAAACTGACAAAAGCAAGAGAAGGAAGCCAAGTGAATCCAACCGAGTTTAAACAACTGATTAGATTTCTGCTGTACATAACAGCAACCAGGCCAAACTTGATGTTCTCTGTATGTCTGTTAAGTAGATACATGGAGAACCCTACAAAACAACACCTGCTGGCAGCCAAACGAGTGTTAAGGCATGTAAAAGGAATTGTGAGCCATGGTATTTGGTACCATAAGAATGAAGGGGAGGACTGTCTGTTGGGGTACACAGACAATGATTAAGCAGGTGATCTGGATGAAAGGAAGAGCACCAGTGGCTATGTCTACTTCTTGGCTGGTGGGGCAATTTCGTGGGCATCTAAGAAGCAACCCGTGGTTACTTTGTCAACCACGGAGGCTGAATTTGTTGGTGCTGCATACTGTGCTGCTCAAGGAGTCTGGTTGAGAAGAATTCTCGCTGAGATTGGGTGGAAAAGCAGTGTAGACAAAGGCACAGTCATCTTGTGTGACAACAGCTGCACAATCAAATTGTCAAAGAACCCTGTAATGCACGGAAGGAGCAAACACATTGACGTACAATTTCATTTCCTAAGAGATCTGGCTAAGGAAAGAAATGTGGAATTACAGCATTGTCCCACTCAAGAGCAAGCTGCAGATATCATGACCAAAGCTTTGTCTCTGGAAACTTTTTAGAGGCAGAGAAGTAAGTTGGGCATCTGCGATCTCTCTGAAGTCAAGTGAAGAAGAACTGTTTTGCCTAATGAACTGAAGCTTGAAGCGAGAAGGACTTCAGTTCAGGGGAGTACATGTTGGAAGAAGGAATCCTAGTGACA